GGCACTCGGGGGATGATTTGGAACAAGTTTTTCCTTAGCAACAATGTAATCTGAGGCTTCGTTACCGAGATATTAACGAAAAACCCCGACCAATCAGAGCGCGAGTTTGCCAGCTGAGTTCCCGCGCTAGCGGTGGCTACGCGCTGCGACTGGTAAGCAGCGGTACCGCGGGAAGTCGACTGGCAAACTGGCGCTCTGATTGGTCGGGGTTTTTCGTTAATATCTCGGTAACGAAGCCTCAGATTACATTGTTGCTAAGGAAAAACTTGTTCCAATTCACCCCCCGAGTGCTCCATTTCCGGGTCGGACAATATTTTTGTTACACCCTGTATACAAAACGCGGCAAGACGGTCAGGAATTCGAGGCCGTGGGTCGATCATGACCCCCGTGTGTTCGAGAAAGTATTCCGTGAATCCTGTGTACGTAATGTGGTCCCCCTCTTTACCGAGAGAGAGGGGAGGGGAGGAGGGCAAGGGGTGGGCTGCAACGGGACGGTAAAACACGAACTTCCCTCGACCATTTCTTCCGCATACACATCTAGAGGAGGAGGGGAGTGGGTGTGGAGTGGGAGGGACGGCGACCAAGGAGGTCCTCGAGTAAGATTACCTACTTGTATAAAGAATTCTCCCGGAGCATCAAGGCAAGAAGCTCCTTATTAAATGCACAATGAGCAAGAGCGTCTGGAAAACGGACTGTTTGGCGAATCGTAGAGACGAGATGGTTGACGGAATGCTGCGGGTAGTGTACGGAACAGTGAGAGAGAGGAGGAAACCGCGGTTGGGACTGGAGCGAGAGAGGAGGAGAAACGCGGGTAGCGGTTTGTTGGTGGGAAGGGAGTGGATGGAGGATGGGTTATGCGTGTCAGCTGATCGATATCCTGAATGGCAAGCTTCCACGACCCAGTCTTCCGCCAGTAACCACGCTGTGGAAGAGGCAGAAGAGAGAAAGGAGGTGGGATCGAGACTCGGGGAAATGCGATAGAAACAGAAGGGAGCTAGTGGGCTAAAGAAAGAGAGAATAAGAGACATGTGTGTCGGTGTGCTTAGGACGGGAAATCAGAAGGAAGATCCTCGTCCATGTGTGTATGCGTTCACGCGTGGTGCATACACACATAGACAAGGAGAGGAGGGGGAGGGGACGCGAGTGGCGCAAAGAGTATCCAAAAGACGGAAGTGAAAAGACATACAATTGGCGTTAATTAACTTGGCAAAAACGTACCAGCAGAACAATGACCCGGGGGTGGGGGGAAGACGGAGGGTGTCTCCGCAGAAGTGTCGCGCCAGTGTACGTCTGTGGCTGAATCCACGTCGCCAGGGTGGAACGCTATCACGACCTATCCCGTCCCGTTGGTTTTATGCTCTCTCGCTGATACAATCGGGTTTGTTCTTTTCTCGATGGGACATTTCGACGAAACAAGGGAACGCGTTGGTTGTAGTATACAGGAGCGACTAACTCAGCCGGGGAGAGTTATGGTTTGAACTTTCCGGTCGGACGAAAGTCGATATTGGAGGGACGTCCATTTCTCTGAATTTCTCGTTCCGCCCCTACTCATCCCATGCCTGTATGTCTTCATCCGCCTCTTTAAACGAGGACGTTTGTTTTCAATCTACCCGCCCAGTGCCAACAGAAGAAAGTTGTTTCGATTTCGTTTCGAAACATACGGACGTACCCTTCCCGTCCATCCTCCGCGACCATCTCCGTCGATCCTAGACGACGGATGAGGCGGTTCACGCCTCCTTGGATCGCCATCCGTCTCGAGAGCGGGGTATATACGCGATTGGTACCTCAAGATACACCCAGACCCGTAACGTATTGGGGAGCGTGTATGTCCTCTATGCAAACATATATGTATATACCGCGACTGCGTATGAGGTTACGTGATAATTACTCCCCGTTATTGAGCCACGTGCACGAACATGTACAAAGGGGTGATGGAGGGGGTGGTGCCCCCCCCCCTTCCCACATGCGATTACCACGGAAAACACCGATTCCGAGGCAGAATCACGCGGGTCTTCTGACAGAGAGAAAAGACGGAAATTACAAAAGTCTTCGCTTCGCGTCCCGACGAGTTTCCTCTATAAATGGTAAAAAACTGGTATAAAATGAAACAGACATTATAACACGTTCGTGGCAATAAAAAAGACGTTCTTGTGAAAAAACGGTTCCGCTTCGAAATGATGCGACTCACGTTCGGAGGGTTCTCTGTTTCTCGCCATCGTGCTACTGCTGCTTTTGTATCTTTCTTCCATCGCGTCGTCGTTCGCGAGGCATCGATCAAACGTTCTACCGTAGACCGCCCGAGGATGATCGGGCCGCGTATCCATCGACATCTGGGTCGACGGGCGCGGGGGATAATCGTCTACGTGTGTCGGCACGTAAATCGTCTACGTATATGCCTAACCGTACATACATACCACCGTGTTCCCTTACGTACATTATATACTTAAGAACATATTTACTTAAACGAATCAAGTCGCACCAATCTCCGGGTAGTGAATCGTATATGTATATATACACATATATGTATATATATGTATATACAGAGGGTGTTCGCGATAATTTGTACCATCGATTTTTTCGTAAACGGTAAACATTAGAAAAAAACCAAAGAGGAGGAAGATGTAGTATATTTTATAAGTAACGTGATAGCGTATCTAAAGTTTTTGTATTCTTAATATTTTGCTAGAAACAAAGGTGACCTTAATTTTATTAAATTGAATGCTACATATTTTTTTACACCATATGCAAGCGGGCATTAAGACGAGTGCAACCATGTAGTATACTATAGTCTTCAGGATCATGCAAGGGCAGAAATAAATTCTCAGAAATGCATGCTTACTAATGGAAGTCTCATTGCATATGAGATGTAGTCTTATTAATACAACATACTAGTAAATACAATATTACGAAATGTTAAATTTATTTCTTTTATTTCTGCCCTTGTGTGACCGTGAAGACCAGAGTATACTACATGGTTGAACTCGTCTTAATGCCCGCTTTCAAATGGTGTAAAAAAATATGTAGCATTCCATTTAAAAAAATTAAGGTCACCTTTGTTTTTAGAAAAATATTAAAAATACAGAAACTATAGATACGCTATTATATTACCAGTGAAATATACTATAACTGCCTCCTCTTCGGTTTTCTTTAATGTTTACCGTTTACGAAAAAAACAATGGTACAGATTATCGCGAACACACTGTATATATATTGTATATGTTACAGGCTGTAATAAAAATGTTGGAGGACCCGGAAAAGGGAGACTCGTGAGGTGATTTGAAACAAGGTTTTCCTTACTACAAATGTTATCTGAGGCTTTGTTAACGAGAAATTAACGAAAAACCCCGACCAATCAGAGCGCAAGTCTGCGTCGTTAATATCTCGTTAACAAAGCCTCAGATAACATTTTTGCTAAGGAAACACTTGTTTCAAATTACCTCACGAGTCTCCCATTTCCGGATTCTCCAACATTTTTGTTACACTCTGTATATACAGGGTGTTGCAGGTAACTTGATCACCTCAAATAATGACTTAACCGCACATGTTATTCAAATTTTAAGGCATGGTACTGAAATGGCATCGAAGGGCAAATCTTATAATGTACGTGCTTTCTTTGTGGGTTGAGGCATTTCAGAGATTTCAAGGTCACCTTGCTTTTCTTTAACGAAATGACTTCTTTTTGTACCACAGATCGATGGAGTATCAAATTCTGAGTAAAAGTGTGTTGACCTTCATACGACTTAAACCTAATAGTTAACGAGATATTTACAATATAATCACTATATTGAAGTTGGGGTGTATCAGTTCGAGCACCTATAGCTTATAGGTAGTAAGTACGTATTAAAAATTATTTTGTAAATATCTCGTTAACTATTAGGTTTAGGACGTATGAAGGTCAACACATTGTTACTCAGAATTCGATACCCAATCGACGTGAGGTAAAAAAAAAATAAGTCATTCCGTTAAAAAAACCAAGGTGACCGTGAAATCTCTAAAATGACTCCACTCACAAAACAAGCACGTACCTTATAAGATGTGCCCCTTGATTCCATTTAAGTTCCACGACTCAAAATTTTCAGAAAGTCTATCGTTAAGTTATTATTCGAGGTGATCAAGTTAGCTAAAAGACCCTGGATATTCTCTTTCGGTCTCCGTGTCGAAATAAAAACCATCCTCGGCTCGCTTAATGTATACTCCCGATTCTCATTGTCTCGTGCACGCAGTGGCGCTCGCCTGGACCCACACACACACACGCGCAACACAGTTCGACACACATTCCCGCACACATACGTAGGACAGTAAACGCACACACATACACGCACACGCACGCGTTCCGTAATTCAGGCAGGCTCGATACACGCGATTACTTCCACGGACGCTCCAGCCAATCTTTTTTAACACGCGAGCGCCATTCGAGCAGCGATCGTTGATTCTCGATCGTTCCGTTACGTTATCCCGTCTGCACTCCGTCGTCGGACGTATCCCGATTCCGAGCATCGCAATCATTCTCTCCCTTACGTTTTAGGTAAACTTTACTATATTTATAATATGTATGTATATAATGGTAGCTAAATTGACAAGTGTTTATATCGAAGGTATTTCATCTTTCTTCCATTTTCTTTAAGAACTACGTACCTAGACTGGCAGGCAATGTTTTAAGGTATGCATGCTCGTGGACTCGTCATTCAGTGAATTCGTTTCTCCCCCTCTCTCTCTCTCAATCTCTCTCTTTCCCATCCCACTCCCTCTCCCTCACCCTCACCCTCACCCTCACCCTCACCATCACCCTCTCTCTGTCCCTCACTCTCTCTCACTTTCTCTCTTTCTTTTTCTCTCTGTCTGCAGGCCTGAAGCTTGCTTTCCGCTATCGTTGCGGCGGAATCGTGACGCGCGTGGATGTCAGCATTTACGGTACGATCAAACATACACACGGGGACAGTCAGTGAGAAGGAAAATCGCGGGAATCGAAGAGTACATTTCACGAGTGGGGGGAGGGGGGGGGGGGGGTTTAAGCGTGGATCTTTACGATCGGAATTGCACCGTTGGAATACCATGAAGTAGTCACAGCGCACGGTTTCAGTCGTCCGACCGGCCTTAACCAGCAGCGCGACTGTCTCTATCTCCTACTCAAAGCACCGCTCGTTTCAAGTACCTCCAGCGACGTTCTTGGCCTGACACGTTTTCTAAATTTTCCTTTTATTTTTTTTTTTGTTCATTTTCATCCATCCCACATCATGCATTTCCTGCCGTGCCTTTTATCGTTTCGTTTCTTGTTAATCGTCGGCCCCACCGATTTAATTCATACGATTCTTGTACTTGCTCTCGTCTCTCCTTAGTGATCACAGCTTTATTTCTAGTCCCGTCCCTTTCGCGGAACAATTAATTCCTGACCTATCTGCTCCCTTAGTACCTTGTTGCGAGCCGGTCACACTACCGTCTGCCCCTTGCCGTTTTCTTCTTTTCTTTCGCGTTCTTCTGTTTCGTTCGTTTCTAATACTTTCGTTCCTGTCTCTGACCGCGCACGTTCTATCCCGGTGTATATGGCGCGACACCGATGATCGTCGGCATCTCGTCGTCGCCGTTTACTTCGCCTCCTCGAGAAGCACCAGATCGTCCGCCACGACGTCGCTGATGTGCAGGTATATGATCCAGTACATTAGGTTGAAACAGACGAAGCATACCGGGAATACGATGCGGGAGTACTTGTCGATATCCGACGGCGTGATACCTGGCAACAGAGAAGAGCCTATGTACATATAATAAGGACCGGTGTAGGAGGACCGCTGCCATCTCCCTTTACGTTACAGTTTGGCCCCATATAACACGATAGCTGGGCTCCGAAAATTGATCATGTTGTACGAAACTGAGATGTAACATGTACATAATTGCATACAAAAAACGGTCTGATCATGCACGTAACCAGGGTATTAGTCGAAGAAGGGGTGGGGCAAAATTGATCTGAAGGTAAATTGCATAATATTACTTTAAATGGATTTTAGTTAAACAATCTTATTTAATATAGTATATTTTTCTCCTTTGGGGCGGGGGGGGGGGGGTTAAATTTTTTTCCTCTAGAATAGGGCAAAGACCACTGTTCTCCCACTAGGGGGAGGGGGTGCAAATGCCCGTTCGTGTTCCTTCGGTTGCGCCCCTAAGTCGGATTCTAAAGACTAGCAATAATACACTATTTGATACAATTATTTAGGAATATCGTGTTGTTTGGCGGTTTCCACAATTCTCTAATCGTGTCAAAGCAAAATCACATTGTGGAAATTTCGTGTTATACGGAGATTGCTTTTTCATGAATTAACACCATGATCAGTCTCAGACAAAAAAGTTGTAAAAACAACATTTAATATTGTTTGCAACTTTCCAACATTTTTTACAAATAGTTTCACGAAACTTTTCAGACTTTAAGCTCGCAACAGTTTCGAAATTGAAATTTGAAACACTCCGTCAAATTGTTTGAAAATATTATAGTAGCTCGAGTGACTTGAAGATTGAAAATTTTGAACGTGACCGTTAGTTTGAATGACTCGCCAAGATCAAATTCTGCTAAGACTGTTCAAACTCCTTGTCAGATGTTTGAACACGTGTGAAAGTTAACGACCCTCTACTGTTAGTTGTATTAACAAGTAATCTACTGTATTTTGCCAAATTTAATACATATGTTCGAGAAAATCAGAAGCCTATGTTGTTTCAGTAATATTTGGCCTCATTCTACAACGTTCGTTGGTATTTTGAAAGTAGCAGAGTGTGCAAAGCTGTTTCAAATTTAAACTGTATTACGAGTTTATGAAAAAGGAATAGAGAATTACTTATTGGTACACCTAATACTTAAGATTCCTGATTGGATTCTCAACTTCGTACTTGAATCTGTTTCTTTTTCCCTTACATGATCCTGTTCCCTTTTGTTGAAACCAGGACACACTAGTTAGTCATTATAACTGTTTCGGTTGGAAGTAACTACCCACTACTTACTGTCTCTCTCTTTTGTTGTTGATAATACTGACGCAAGGTCCGTCTACTGTCAGTTCCGTATTCCATATTCAGCATGTGGTGGAAATGTCGGCGCGTTTACAAGTAGGTCAACAAAGCGCAATTATAGAGAGGAAACACGGTACGACGTTTTAACTTGTTAAGTGGCTAACTTTTCATTCGTAAAACTCATACAGACAGAATTAAAAGCAAATAAAAGTTGTTAGTCTCGTAAACGAGGCTGTTTTGTGGGACTTTCCCTCAAGTACAGTCATTATTACCCAGTTGATCAAATGAAATATCAGGTTTCTGAAGCTTTCGTTTCAATGTTTTCAGTCTACAGATAAAATTATTAGCAATTGACAGTATATTTTCGGTTGATATAAATTACATTTACCATCGACAGATTATAATGTTTATGAGGTGTTAAGAAGAATATATTTAAAATAATTCATATTGGAAATATTATTTTTTGCTGTGACTTTAAAATAATTTATGTTCAGTATTAAGTAGTTATAAGTATTAAATTAAAATATGTAAAAACCCAAGTAGATAATACTAAGAAATGCACTCTGGTGTTTGGTACACCTTATGTATTATGTTGAAGTACCCAACGTTTGGCAACTTCTATTTTTCCTAATTTTTTTTTTAAACCGGAAAAATAACGTTTAAGAAAGTATATGTGATTTTGATTGAAAAATACAAAGCTTCGACCCTTGTGGTCGTAAAGGTTATAAATTCATCACCTTTACACCACAAACACTTCAACACCTCTACTCTAATTGTACGACGACAAATGAGCGTTTTCCTCATTTTACCCTAAGACGAAAATGATTTTTCCCTCGTCAGTATGAATATTATCTTCAAACATGAAATATCGTTTTTACCGTCTTATTGAAATTAAGTTTTGAAAGTGGAATGTATAACCTCTTATAGAAATCCAACAATTAAAACAAATAAAACTCTAGTGTATGTAATTTTTCAATTATTTCTGTTGGTTCATTTTCATATAGTTTTTCATATCTAACGTCTTTCCTGGATACAATAAACCTGACATCCTTTTTCGTCACAAGCTTTATTGAAGCATTATTGCTGGTCCTTGACAAAGAACTTCTTAATTAATTCCATTTAAAACGCGACTGACATTTTGTGAGACAATATTTCTAAAGTTGTTAATAAAATTCAAATTCTCATTATACCATTATTAATTTGTAGATTATATTATAGACTGAGAATAATGAGTTTGATACTTGGAATGCATTTTATATCGGAAGAAGGTGTCCAATATCTCCGATGAATTTTAGCGCGGAAACTTTAATACGGGGTTCTAAATGTTTTAACTAAAATTTTCTGCCCGATGTTTCCAATGTTTTTCGTGCTATACGAGAAACTTGGAAACGGCGGAAAAAAAACCCTGGCAATGCGATGCATTGTTCAGAGTTGGTTTGACTACACAGCAGTGAGGAGCACAAATGTGAGAAAAAAATGTTTGATACCAACACAAGCAGCGTGTGAAGCGTCCGTAAAACGCTTATCCAGTCAAGATTCTATTTCAGCGGAGAAAACACAGTGTTCGACACGCGGTGTATAAAACGCCCGTGTAGCCCTGGCCTTAAGAAGGATTGCTCCATTCACAGTGCTTTCGTTTTCATTCAAGTCTAAGTTTCATCTGAACAGAAACAAGTCACTCTTGTTGGTAAAATAAAAAGTTGTTGTTCACCTTGTTTCTTTCATTTTATGCTTTCAATATTTGTTGAAATTTTTTATCATTATCGGAAGTTAAACAATAATAACATATTTTCTCAGGTTTTTGTAAAAATATACACCTACTTCTATTTCTTGAGTACGATCTCGTTCAGATTTTTTATCTAACAGACAAATTATTTAGATAAATTAAAATAGATGAAATAGGTGAAGTACATAAAATAGGTAAAATAGGTAGATTCAATATCTAACTCTTAATGGGTACTTGATAGATTTATCTAAGAAATATGATTTTCTCCTTAAAATTACGCGATACATTTCGATAGGAAATCCTAGACCATGATTATTAATAATCACAAGAAATATTTCATAATATTTGTCAAATGCCTCTAGTCTATTCCCATATTTGCATCTAAAATTCTACTCGCGTATCTATAATAAATTACCAAATGAAATTAATGCCTTCCAATTGTATCTCTCACAAAAACTGAAGTCTCCCCGATAGAATTTGTACAAAACGTTCTAACCCGTCCTGAATAAGCCCACGTTCATCTTGTTCGACTATCCTCGAAACGTATGTAATTCCCCAGTGAATTGTCGAAACAAAGACTACTTTCGTCGAATTTACGATCGAAGCTTAAAATCGCCGGAAAGTGGGTCGGGAACGCACACCCTAGCATCATATCAGAATTCCAAGAGTGCCACGATATTTTAAGGCGAACCCACCGCTATAATTCAAGAACGGAAGGAATATTAACGTTTTAAGAGATGGGAGAAACGGTGTTAGGCCGTACCGTAAAGTTTGCTGATATCCTTTCCGGGATGAATGAGGTGTTGCGGCGCTGGCGCTGCCTCCTCGTCGGCTCGTCCGTTTATGGTGTTCTCGAGCGTCCCACCTTTGCTGTGTGCTTTCGGGTCGTGTACCTTGAACCGCACCTCCTGGACAACACGGGACCACTTACAAGAGACACGGCAGTTCGGCGTGGGGTGTCCTTCTCCGAGGAGAACCCCTTACTTTGGTTGATTGGCATGCGATATCAAGGATAAGATAACGTGTCTTCTATTACATCTTAATCTATTATCTCTTTCTCAAACTAGGCTACTTCACTCTCGAATGGTAAATTTTGCGTGGTTAAGATTGGATCCTCTTGAATGTACACATTTCGCCGAAACAAATAATACACAATTTTTAGAGTACCGAAAGTTTGGGTAGCTTTCACTCACAAGGAGTGTATTTTAGGTGTCCGCCTCCGATTGCTTTGATTTTCGGATATGTTTTAGAGGACCGAAAAATAAGAGATACGTATTTTTTTATAGCGGCCCGTTTTCATATTTAGGGGGTGAAACCACCCCTCAAAGTTTCGACCCGGAAGTACTATCTCGAAAACCAGAGGAGATACATGAAAACTTTCAATTGGTGGCTTTCATGGTTTTTTATGTACAATAAACTGGTGTTAACAAATTGTCAAAAATACAATTTGTTTATAACAAAAAAATATCATTTTGAGAACCTTTTTGGAGGAAACTACGTGTATATCTCACAAGGGAAGGCACGGAAGTGTCCCCCTCCGATTTTGATGAAACTTCGTATGTCTGTTAAGCAGTCAAAAATAAAGGACATGTATTTTTTTTATCGGCTGAGACGCGACTTCAAGGGGTGAAACCACCACTCGAAATTTCTATCCGAAATTTTGTTGGTATAAACAAATTATATTTTGGACAATTTGTTAGCACCATATTATTCTACATAAAAAACCGCAGACCTCGTCCATTAGAAGTTTTCATGTATCTCCCCTGTTTTTCGAGATAGTACTTCCGGGTCGAAACATAGAGGGGTGGTTTCACCCCCTAAATATAAAAACGGGCCGCTATAAAAAAATACGTATCTCTTATTTTTCGGTCCTCTAAAACATATCCGAAAACCAAAGCAATCGGAGGCGGACACCTAAAATACACTCCTTGTCAGTAAGGAGTAAAGTCAGAAAATGATCGTTCTCAATATTGCAGTTTTTCTGTAGGTATCTATACGGGAATTATCTTCTCACGTAAAAATGAACTATTTCGAACAATTTGCAGAGCTGAAAAACCGCAAAACGATCATTTTCTGACTTGGGACAAAGTCACCCAACTTACGGCATAACATCAATTACAATTAATGAACAAATGATAAATAACGTTAGAGATATTAACTCAGAATCTCTGGTTACGCTTGAAAAATTTCGAGAATGGGCTCTTTTAAGTTTCGCTGCAAATCTCTGTGATTACAGAACACAACAAGCCAGGCTCATCCCGCGGGACTCTGAAATTCAAGCGCATCAAAAGACTCACCTGGACGTGAATAGGCCGACTTTTACTATTCCCCTCTTGTCTCAGAGCGTTCATTCTCCCTCGAACCCGTGTTTAGAAGTGTAATTGGATTTACTAGCGACGCACGAGGTACTTGCCCCGCGCATTAATGCCCCTCCGTGCCCGCGTTTAATCACGCTTGAAAGTAGGGAATAGAGGAGGAGAGGGCACACTAACGACGCCGCTTTTGTTCGCTGCGTCATTTTCATTAACGTCTCCGCGTCGGCTGTTCCTCCGACACCCGTAAGAACGACCGGATGAAATGAGCCGCGGGACGCAAAATCTGTCCCGCGGAAAAGTGCAGGCCGCGTATAGAGTTGGTTTTGTCGGTGTCAAACAAGTAATTAATTCGTTCTGCTATTAATTAAAACGCCTTATCCAAACGGGGGAGCGACACATTGAGCCGTGACCGATCAGGTCCGCTTTTTTTCCCAATATTCTCGGTTTGTGCTCGGCCGTGGTACTCTACGGCGCCCCTTTAATATTTTTTGTTCCCGTTTCACAATCCCCGAGATTAAAAGAAAATGTATAGTGCATCGCGTTTCCGTGCATGAAACTCGCTCTCCCCCCTCCGTCGTTCAGCGCAACAGGACCGAATGGGAGATTCATTTCGCGGAACCTTTTAGCTTTTGACCTTTCCCCGGGGCTTGTTCATATTTTGTTTTTCGTTGAGTTTTTCTCACTCTCGCGAACAGAAGAAAAACAATTTTTCCGGGGCTTTTTTTTTGTTTTATTTCGGCCAGCAGGATCGAGGCTGCGACCAACTTTACGGCGAATCGCCCGGTGAATGGCCATTGAACGACTGTATCGGGGATGTGGGTCTAAAAAGTAGCGGGCAGGAGGCGGCACTGGACGAAAGCGAATGTATCTGATTTTCGATGAAATGCAATTCTTTTAGCGAGTTCAAATTGTGGCAGGGTCGTCTGTTTCAGTTGTTTTGCGTACACTCCAGTTTATAAGTGTTAGGGCATTTGTAGAATATGAGGTAGATGGAATCAGGCAGTCCGAAATTGTTAAAGGACCAAAATAAATACTCTTTAGGGGATGTTAAAGTTCCATAAAGAATACGTACGCTAATGTGAAATAATAAAAGTAGTCCAAAGAATATAATTCTTTTTAGGACCTGATACCTTAACCTCTTGAGGGGGGAAGAATGTTCGCGGCGTGGAGTACAATAAATCCTCGATGAGTGTTCGAAGGCTTCTCGACACTGAATATTAAATATTTCATAAATTAATGGCTATATGCGGCCGAAATAAATATCATTGGCTTCATTATTCTAAGCTCTATCGCTGTACTAATACAAATTTAAAAATTCAGTGTTACACTTGGGAACCTTTCCTTGTCACTGCCGAGGAGCCTTTGAACACTCATCGACGATTTACTGTATTTGACTATTAGAATCTGAACACCAGATTTCAATTTTTAAAGATAATTGAAAACAAGAAGGGTGTTTTGTTCATGCAATATTATTAAAATAAATTAACATGACGGTCATTTTTATGACGTCAAATTGTATACAAAAGTATAAGCCTACGCGAATATATCCGCTCTCCCAACTTAAGGGTCAGTACTTATAAACGGCAGTGTACATTGAAGGGGAAAGTATATTTTCATTTGAAGTGAATAATCAAAATGAATAATCAAAATTATAACACGGAATATGCCCTTTGATTCAGTAAGAAAATAGCTCGAACGACTAATTCTGAATATTAATCTTTCTGTCGTATGCAAAACAAAGTGAATGTTAATAAATGTTATTCTTTCATAGGGCTTGATTAATCCCGTTTGTGTATTAAATGTAAAGTGAATTCGAATTATAGTAATAATATGAAATAATACAGCTATTATTTTAATTTCGTTTTACATCATGTCATTTGATTGTGACAATAAAAAATGATTTCATCTTCTTGAATAAAACTTCATTTCAAAGAAGTTTTTCCATAACGGGCAAGAAAAATCACGACTGTTGCCGTTAAATAAAATTAAACTCGAGGAGGTTGTAATCTCTGAAATGCAATATGAAAAGACTGTACGAAATGAAATCTATTTTTCTTGCGATTTAGTTTTCAAGAAGATCGTTCTTTTAGATTTTGCTAACACTTCCAATTGTAACGGACACTACTTTTGGTGTCTTCTCGTAGATGGCGAACTTGAATAAAATGAAAACGATCGATGTTGAACGAAAATAAGAGAGGATCGGTTTGCTTTCTAGCGACGAACCTTCTACGGGGCGTCGTGAAACGCTCGAAATTTAATCGATCTAGATAGCGAAAAGCGCAAACGTGAATGTGTGCGTGTGTGGGCGATCATGTCGACAGTAACGGGATGGCTCTAATTGGAAAGAAAGACAAAAGGGTACATGACAGAATGGCCGATGTTACTCACAGTTTGCTTAGGCGCGTGGTCTCCGTGATCACCGGGCACTCCGGGCGGTCCTGGATTCTCTCTCGCCGCCTTCATACTTTCCGCGATTTTTTGGAAGCGATTCTTCCTCATCTGGATCCTCTTTGCCATGTAGCCCACCGTGGCGTATTCTGCGAAGACAAAGAAATCCACGTGGATAATGAGATATGACAGGCCTGAAACGGTGTGGCCGTTTTTCTGCCTGCTGATCCCTTTTAACGGGGAATGAAACGTGTGTACGCCTGATATGTCCGGTTCGAGTGAATCCAATAATTTCGCTGACCATTGGAAATAAGTAAAGCCCGCTCGTGTTATAATTGTAATACAAGATTTTCAATTTTGCAGTTTCAATAGATTTATGTATTATTTTTAGTTTAACTAGTGCTACGCGATGTATGTTTCAGAATTTGGGATTTGTCAATCACTGTTGACTCCTATGTTTTGCTTCTATTTGTTTCTTTACTTTTTTTTTCGTATACAGAGTGCGGTCAAAATGATGGTATCAGCGATCAGGATGTGATCCTTGTGCAAGAATAAATAAAAAAATTTAGAATAACATTTTTCTTCCGAGACTTAGGTTTCGAGAAAATTTAATTTCATAATTCGTCTGAACCTGCGTGTATTTCTGATGACAGTAGTGCACGCGTATTATTCAGCATATGTATTTTGCTCGCCTCTTGCTCGCTCGTATAATCCTTTCGGCCACACCTTACATATTAGATGTTTGTTGTCCCCATAAGCATAATGTGGTTTGGTGACCGTAAAAAATTAATCTGTACTACATTATAACCAGAGATGGGCAAATTTTCATTTAAATAAAAATGTTGAAATAACGAATAAAAGATGAAAAAATTATTCGACGCATGATAAATAATTTTTTTATTCGATGAGAATTTATTCGACGCATGATAAATAATTTTTTTATTCGATGAGAATTTATTCAACGAACACAAATAATTTTTTTATTCGATGAGAATTTATTCGACGACTAAAGATAATTTTTGTATGCGATGAGAATTTATTTGTCGAATATAGGTAATTTTTTTTTTCAAAAATGTTGTCCGACCCGAAAATCTGGCACTCGGGGGGTGAATTGTAACAAGTTTTTCCTTAGCAACAATGTAATCTGAGGCTTCGTTACGGAGATATTAACGAAAAACCCCGACCAATCAGTCTGCCAGCCGAGTTCCCGCGGTAACGCTGCCTACCAGTCGCAGCGCGTAGCCACCGCTAGCGCGGGAATTCGGTTGGCAAACTCGCGCTCTGATTGGTCGTGGTTTTTCGTTAATATCTCGGTAACGAAGCCTCAGATTACATTGTTGCTAAGGAAAAACTTGTTCCAATTCACCTTCCGAGTGCCCCATTTTCGGGTCGGATAACATTTTTGTTACACACTGTATACGCACGTGTAGACGTTTCGCGTCAAGCAGGAGAGAGTACACGTTCGGTACTCACCAAGCAACGAGGCAAACACCATGACGAAACAGGTCCCCAGATAGACGTCGATGGACTTCACGTAGGAGATTTTCGGTAACGCCGCGTTCGTCGAGGACATTAGGGTGGTCATGGTGAGTACAGTAGTCACTCCAAGGGCCACACGAGCGGGTGTCGCGTTACGGTTCAGCCAAAAGCTCACCCACGAGATTATAACGATCAAGCCCGAGGGTATGTAGATTTGAATCAGGTAGTAGCCCATCGACCGTACGAACTGGATCTCGCAGGCCAGCCGCGAATAATTTCCTACGATTTAAAAGATCGACAGTTAAGATAGGGGGACGGAGAGGCGCCATGATACGTCTGTTGAAATGTCTCTCCCTCCCTCTCTCTTTCTCTCTCTCTCTCTCTTTCTCTCTCTCTCTCTCTTTCTCTCTCTGCCCTTTCTATATATATATATATATACATAATAAATATTTTAACTTCCCTTCTGTATCTCTCTCTTTCTTCGACGATATATGCATTATATTGTTTTTCTATGCGAAGTCTGGTAGTACATCATACTCATCGGTCTCTAGTCTACGACCAGGAAAAGCAGACTCGAAGGTCGAGAAGGTCTCTCTCCTTCTACATTACTCTCTCTCTTTTTTTCCTTTCGTGTTTTCTGAACACACACAACGCACGAGACCTGGCGAGATGTGTTAAATAAAGCTCGTGACCGCCGTTTGATGGATCATTCGTGTGCCAATGTGTGTCTGTGTGTACAGGGTATAAAAGGCGCTATGGGCTCGCGTGGATCAGTGCTGAGTAGATCGCGTGTGTGGACGAGGAGAATCGCGGCGAAACGGAAAAGAGAACGTAGGGACTCGTCCGATGGGAACGGGAAACCGAGTTGCTGCTTCCCTCGCCCGTGTTTTTCATTCGAACGACGACGGGATTGGAAGAATTTATAGCCAGCATCGCGATGGATCGCGTCTGAAGAACCTTTGGGGGTGGGGGGGTGGGAATTCTATTTGTAATCTCCCGGTTGCTTGTCGCGCGTGATCGAGAGACCGTGATTTGTCTCGAAGGCGCGATACCTCGAGAAAAAAAGCGGGATGAGGGATCATGGATTGGCCTCGTGGATAGTTCAGAAATGATTCTCGCAGTAGAACGTTGATGATACACAGAATTCGAGAGTTATAGGGAATTTTTTCTATATAAAAACCGTTCCGTTCATACGTGGGTGACATAGCAATTGAAGTGTTTAATATTTATCTGGGCTATTAAGTTCTTTTGAGACGGAATTTCATATGCCTTGCACAGCAGTGGTAGGCGAAAGTGAGGTCATTCTATTCGTTGTTGTTTCATCCACTATTATATTGGAAAAGGCAAGAAATTTATTAACAGTGAAGTAGAAAGAATGAAATTTGATTCCTATAAAGCTGAATCGTTGAAGCACCAATAAAATTGGGGAAAGA